CTCACTCTCTCTCACTCTCTCTCTCTCTCTCTGTCTCTCTCTCTCTCGCTCTCTAGGGGTCGGTGAGATCCTGACAGATCCATCAGTCATTAAGAGCGGAGAGAAAGGGTGAGAAACACGGATGAAAAACATATTCAGAAAAATACAATCATAGGCTTCAGTCAGGGTAGCGCTAGGGCTGGGCGATATAACAGTAGCATACATTTAGATCATGATAACCACAGTTAAATACTCACATATAGCACCTCAATACCATGGTAACAATTATTTGTATAAAAAAAACAGTAGTCTAAATACATTAGTATAAATGCACAGACGCTCTCGCCATTCCATTACTCCTTTAATATAATTCGATATCTCACATTTCTGCCACAATACCGTGCTGCAGTTAGTGTTACTACAGTAAATCATGGTAAATGATGGTGATTTGTAGATTGAAAAGCTTCTGACTGTATGTATTTGTCAGCGCTGGATTGTACTGGTGTTTAACAGCATACGATTGAAACGTCTTTCCCAATAAAACCGTTTAGTGAGTTGTGATAGGATCTTTATACAGCGAGAGCCATTATAAACACTCTGACTGAGGTCTGTTAAAACCTGTATGATATAATAGAGTTGATTAGTTTTCTTCTTGTGTGTTTGATTGTGACAGGTCTTATGATATGATCTTTGGCCCCGCGAATCTTGGAGACGATGCCATTCGAAACTTCCGCTCCAAGCATCACTGTAACTCGTGCTGCAGAAAACTCAAACTTCCCGGTGAGTTTAGCTTAGTTAAAGCGTCATCAGGCCATGCTGTCACATCTATAGCATCTATATGTCATTATCAATTGATTTTGTTTTATTTTTGAAAGTAGAGAATATCAGTAAATGTAATTTTTTAAAGTGACATTTTTATATGATGTAGTTCAGCATTTACTTTAACCCCAAAGCCCTCTATCAAGATTTATTTTTGGCCCTTCACTCTGAAAAGTTTAGGCTCTTTGTGTTAGATTGTGATTGATTTGTAAGTGAATTATCTAGTCCGTATCTGGCAGTTTCTGAGGAGTTTAATGTGTGTGTGTGTTTGTGGTCAGATCTGAAGCAGAACGACTACACTCCTGATAAACTGATGCCCTCTGAGGGACCGTCCCATTCACCGCCTGCAGGGGGCGCCGCTAGAGAACAGCATCCCTCAATGCGCTTAATGCTGTGAGCCACACACA